TGCTTGCAACATTTTTTTATTTTAATTTCCAAGCATTCCTAATGTTCTATGTTTCAAAAGTGATATTAATTTATTTCAAAACGAATCGGCGCTTAGAAACATATTCATTTGAGATTTTCGACTTTATCAGTGTAAACTCCGCTACCCAATTGATCCGATGCGAGATGCAAATGGTATCCCAATTTAGAGATAAGTAAATTGTAAAAGTTCGATTCTAGTGCTCACTAGTTTTGTTACAACCGCCTAGAGAAAAACGCACAATTCCTAAATCAAAATCAATCCGTTTTTTCAAACAAATGTCACCCGTCCCCACATACAGCTCTTTTTTCCCCCCTTTTTTTTCTTAACTGCTAAATTTCACATTCTTTTAGTAAACAAAAGGACAGAAACTGTTTATGGCATTCATTTGAAAATTCATTTTTCCCCTTCTAAATTCTTCTCAAATCGTATCGATATGAAAGTTAGTTAACTTTAAATAAAGTAATTCTTCTAAATTAATTTACAAGTATGTAGTGCTTTAGCTATTTAAAATGAATAAATAAATTTCGTCATTTGGGTTGAAACGAAACCAAAACTAAGTTTAGTTTCATTTTCTATTTCTTAATGGAAACTCATATTATTTCTGTCTTGAACAACACTTAAAATATAAAAAAAGCATTAAAGGCTTCCGTTAAATATAATTAAATAACAGAAATCACTACTATTTTGAGAAAAATGATATATTAACTTTTATTATGTTTTCACAGATATTGGCCACATGATAAATGTTTCTTATTTTGCTCACTAGATGGTGCCATCAGACTTAAATAATTTTGACAAACTTGGTGTTATAGAATTGATGATTTAATATTTTTATATTCGCTTGCAGATACATCTTATGTTGTTATTCTTCTTCTTTATTTATTTTCTATCAATAAGACTGATGCTTGTATAATTGCCTAATTGTTTGCATATATTAGATTCATTTTTTGCCTTGATAGTTTTCTTTAGTTCTATTTTTGAATCAAGGATTAATTTAAACATGACTCTATCACCTTCGTCCAAAATCGGCCTATATTTAGCTCTCATTTCACATATTAACGCTTTCGAAATTAGGTTTCATGGTTGGTCTTCATTAAACATTTGGCATAATACAGGTTTATGGAGAAAGAATGTGAAGAGACCGCGATGAAAACAATTTTTACATTTTTCTCAGTTTTGAATTAATTAATGATGGCTTGCACACTTCTGAGCTTGATACAACTAATGGTACAGTGGCGGGACTCCAGACAGTTTGAAATATCTAACAAGTAAGACATATCTAATTATTCGCAGCGTTTCATTTTTTTTTTTTCCTTTAAATAAATTGGCCATCCTGATTAGTTCAAATCCGTGTACGATTATGTCGTTCAATATTACTTTTATTTATATTACATGCGTGTAAATTCCCTTCTAAAAATATTGTTTGTTAATGCTTACTAATTTATTTTGCACCTCTGCGAAACTCATAATAATGCATGAAAGCTAAAATCTAAGAAATATTCATCTCTAAATCTGTTTCAACGTTAAAAAATATTTCTGCAAACTTAATTGTGCTGAAAAGTATTTCTGTCATTAATTTTTTTAATGTTCAGGGATTTCTTCAGATATTTGCTAGTAATCAATACTGATAAAAAGAAAAGTCCATTTTTTAATCCTTTGCCCATTCTTATGATTAGCTGACAACTAGTGTAAATAATGGTTTATGTAATCATTGAAGAATTAATTTACAATTCAAAAAGAATTTGTGAAATATATCTCATACTTTTTGTTATATTGAAGCAAATTTGGTTCTATTTAGAAGAATGGTTAGCAATTCATTCAGAAGATTTCTGTATTTGCACCTGCGCTAAAAAAGTCGACAAATTTTGGTGACAGCCAAGTGAACTGTGCATGTGCGAAAGAAAAAAAATTATTGAAGGAGTTTTCAACTAAGAGTTTTTTTCAACTAAAAATCCCTATGTTCTCTTGGCGAAGGTAGTCGTTGTAAGCAAGTACCTGTTCAAAATTAGCCCACCTCAAATATATAGTACACCTCAAATATAAAATGTTTCAAATTTACCCTAGTTTGAAATCAAATGAAGGAAAAGTAGTAAATTTCTTTCAAACCCTAGTGATTAACTCTTATAAATTGCTTACAAAAATTTTTTGTACTTGTAAATTTTTTTTGCCTGAATATTTTTCATGAAATATTTTTGAATTGTATAAAAGAATTCCAGCTTAATGCATGTGAAATGATTTCTGGGACATTAGGTCTTCTAAATATTTTAGTTTTAATAAAAATGTCAACTCAAACATAAAAATCTTTGTTAGTTTGAAATGAAATTACTAAAAATAAAGCTGAAACAATATTTTTATACGCTAAATGAAAGAGAAAAAAAAAATTAGCTATTTTTTAAAGAGCTGCATCACTCTATTAGCTACCTACCTAATTGTATTGTATACTTAGTGATTGATTTGTCATTTTGATCAGTCAGTAGCTTTTAAGGATTTTAGCTCTTATTACATAAAAAGTATGGTCTAAGTTTAAAAGTACAATTTTTAAAGTGAAAATGTATGCTAACGTATCAAAATAAAAATTACATAAGTCAGTTCTCATTTTTACCTCTTGTTGTATTTCAGTTATGAGCAATTAAAAATTTCACAGTAATTTTGACTTTGTCCTTAACAGTCTGGAATAATATTAAGTTTACTTCCCACCAAGCATAACTGTAATAATAATTAATTTTAAAAATGAGAAATATGTAATTATTTTTTAATTTAATTATTTCTACATATGATAATCATAAGAATGATAAAAATAATATCAATGATTTCCCGCCATATTACGCAAGGTTGAACCGAGTAATTGAAAGTACCCTGCCGCTTATATGACGATATTAGTACATTAAGTGTCCATTTACAAGATGTTTACAAGTGAAAGAAAGGCCTGTAGTTAGGTAAAAAAATCTCATAAAATTGCTAAAATAGCCCACATTGGAGGAAAAAAAAGCCTCTGCACAGATCACTTTAGTAGTCTTAGAGAACAAAAAAAAACTGTGTAACGGGTGTTGGAAAGACATCATAATCTTCAGGCTAAAAAAATGCTCAGGGAGGAAATAAGAAAGTTGTTGCAACGCTCGGACTACTAAGAAATCACATTTCTCGTTTAAGGTAACCTGTGCAAAAGTCTGCTCAGGTTACGTTAAACCAAACCTGGAAAAATCTTGCAGAAAGCCGGGAAAATAACCAATATCAAAATTCACTGTATCAATAAATAACTGATCAGGTTCAAAGTAAATAAGTTTTACTCTCATCTATTTTTATTATTTCATGTAAAAATTTTGTTGCAATATTGTTATATTTTCTTAGGTTTATTCAATAAGAATATATATTAGTTCATAATTTTTGAAAATTGTTTACTTAATTATTTTTTATTTCAACTTTTTCTTAAATTTTATCTATTAAATAGTAATTTTATCTTATTAGATTTAATCTAAATTCTTAAATAACCCAATTCACAGTTTAATAATACTATTTTTTTAAAAGTTAAGCTTTAATTTTGTCTGGTTTTCATGCAAAACTTTTCTTTTTGTATGATTTATATATTTGTGTATTATGAAATGTATTTGTTAAACTTTTACCCAGTGAATTTTATTTTTTACAATGTGTAGTATGTGACATAACTTCTATCAAAAAGTAAGTTCCAATGGATGGTGTTTTCTACACTAGGGAACGCTGCAAGCTCGGTACCGCCTAAATTTCCGGGTTACTGTTTCCATTGTATTTTAAAGCCATTTAGCATCATTGTGTTTTGAGATTCTTGCAAACAATGTATTTGATTACTTATTACTTGTGCTTACAATGCTAACAATGCTGGTGTTTACAATGCTAAAAGTGTTAACACTAACGTAAGATGGTGCACAGCTTGCAACAAGAACAAACAGTTATAAACTTATGGAAAGAGGCCATATCAAGACTGCCAAAAAAGCGAGTTATTCAAAATCTAGCAAGCATGTCACCTTTTTAAACAATATATCTCTAAAAAACTAAAACAAATTTTCACTTCAAACTCATCAGAATTTGAAAGCACCATCCATACTTATTGAATAAAAAAGTATATTCCAAATGAAATATTGCAGTGTATAGTAACAATGTATTCTGGAAGTGCATACTATTATAATATATCATGTAAAATATATGCAGGGAATTTGTTTTCCCAGTGTGAGTTACGGCCCTGTTTAAACTACGCATAATTTTTCATTGATCTGTTATGCTATTAAAGTTATAAATTAAAAGATGTATAAAATAAAACTTAAAAGTTACAGTCTCTATTGCTTTATTTTTTTGTGTTACACTATTGTTTGTATATAATGTATATATGGCCCCACATATAAAATTTGCCTTAGGTCCCACTTTCTGTTAAGCTAGAAAAATTTAAGTAAAGAACAGATGAACTTTGTGCTATTGTATCAAGTTAAACAACTTGAAAAAAGTGCAAGTAAGGTTACATAAACATACTATATTGTACATACATGGTTAGTGAAAAACATGTATGTTGAATAAGAAAATCAAAATTGTTAAACAAAATGTATGCCTAAAGCCGAAGAGATGCACTAGAAGATGTGGCCAGTGTAATTTCATGTAAGTAAATTTAATGTCTGGTTGGTTGATTCTAATGCCACACGGGCAAGCCTGCTTGGTGAAACCGAGCAAATTTAAGGCAGAGTGTGCGTTTCTTGTTTTTCAGTGGCGCCATCTATGGCCAAGAATTCGACTTCTGCCACTCCATACGTCGCACCATTTTTTTACTGTTAACTCAAATTACACAATTTGGGTTGTACCTTTTTTTATGAAGCAAACCCTTATATTAATAATTTGAGAGGCAGTAATTTTCTATAGATCTGTGATTTATTTTTCTTTACTTATTTTGGTAATCCCTATTAGATGTGTGTATAAGTACTGCAATGATAATTAATTAAGCTTTTTATTTTTCTCAATAGGGATCTAAGAGATTATGATCCAGATGATCTTGTAGAGAGTGGCTTTTCTCAATCATGGGCTCAGTCTGTACCGGACAGTGGAGCAGGTAGATTAATTTCTTCTCTGGATTTAAAATTTCTTTTTTGAGAACAGGGATGAATTTAGACATGGTCTCTGTGGTTGCAGTTCAGGACCACTGCTATTCAAAAGGCCCCTTCTAAAATCAGTTTTTTTTTAAATTATTTTTTGTTCTGAACTATCCCAAATTCATGGTACAAACTTTAAGGGTAGATACAGGACTTTGTATCAATAATTTATTGTATTGAAATGCATGGGCGAAAGTGATGCGCTGAGGCGCAAACACAAAAAATAAGAGACAAAAAGAAAGACAAAATGTTCATTGAAGGTGTTGTTGACAAGTGTAATGTTTACAATAATTGTTCAAAATTGCTTCCACCAGTAAGTGGAGCGATTGGCATACATGTTCAGAGATGCTAGGTGTTTCACGCACTTGTGCAGCAGCTCTGGATATTCGTGTAATGAGATCCTCACCTGAGTCAAGTGAAGTCACCTAAACAATATTCTTCAAATGTCCCCACAAAAAAGAAATCAAGGCTCGATAAATCAGGAGATCGCGTGGCCTACTATGCCCAATCCATCGCTCCCCAAACGTGCCGTTCAGGTAAGTACGCATATCAGTGCTGAAGTGGGTTGGCGCTCCATCATGCTGAAACCACATGTTACGAATGGCGATCGGAACATCCTGCAGTGATTCTGGTAACACCTGTACCAAAAAAAATAAGATAACGTTTGCTATTAAGTCACGTTGGTAGTAAGTATGGCCCAATCAAAAATTCGTTGACAATACCTGCCCACTCTGAATTGTTGTTGATATGCATGTAGTCGCGTTACATGTTGATTCTCGCTTGCCCACACACTGTAATTATGCTCATTAAAGACACCCTCATGTGTAAATGTCTCCTCATCTGTAAATAGCACATGAGCTATGAAGTCCGACTGCTGCGCCCATTGCTGTACCACCCACTGACAGAAGTTTAGGCAGAGAGGATGGTCTGCCTGATTCAAAGCTTGTACTCGCTGAAAATGAAAGGGGTGTAAGCGATTTTCATTTAACACTCTACAAACGGTCTGATGACTCACACCTACCTTATGTGCAACAGCTCTTGTACATAGCTCGAGTCTATTAGCCACAACGTTCACGATGCTTTCTTTCAGGCTTGGACTGCATACAGCTCTTCGTCGACCAGCTTCATGTCTGGTGACATGGAACGAACCTGTTTCACGAAGTTGATGTTGAAAAATTCTGTAATCCGGCATTCGTCAATCAGGGAATTGGGCGTGATGCATTCGTGGTGCAGCTCTACCGTTACCATTTGCATGGCCATACATATAATGGATGTCTGCTTTTTTGGCATATGTGGAGTCTCCCATCGTAGACATCAGCACAATTTCAAATTGCTACTGAGACGCGTCATGTGCAACGGTGGCTAGACATCTACTGCCATCTGCTATCAACGCGACCAACCAATAACTTCATTTATCTTTTATTTTATTTCCCCTATTTGTGCCTCACCATTCCAAAGGAAAATAATACGTGGTGCATTTAAAATATTATGGGACAATATTAAGGTTCCATATCGCGCCTTGCGTTAGTATTGAAAAATGACTTATAACGTCCCGTTTCAAAGCATTTTAGAAGACAAATTTCCTCAAAATAAAGCGGCCTCACTTGCGCGCACACATTTCTATATAATAAATTATTGTTACAATGTCCTGTATCTACCCTTAAAGTTTGTATCATAAATTTGGCACCACCCTGTATATATATATAATGTCAGCACAAATAGTGCTAAACTTAAATCTTGTTGAATTTGGGGACACTATTTGTAATATAAAAATATTGAATTTAAATTTGCGAATTAGTAGCTTAATATTATATTTTCAGATGTATTTAAATACATTTTTATTCTTACTGGTGTTGAAAAAAAAATTTTTTTTCAAATGGCAGGCACTGAACTTTATTCTTCGCCTAAGAAGATGCTGGAATTGATACTCATTTTGCGTTACCCAGTGGGCGTCTGTGAACCAAAGTCACGGAGGCGAGCAACATTACCCATGTCACACTGCCACAAACCCGTTCATAGGGTGGGCCACGTTCACACAACAGAGAGAAACATCCATGCCCAGAGCGGGATTCGAACCCGCAGCCATTGGCTTTGCAGTCAGGCGCGCTAACCGCTCGGCCATCTGGTCGGCTGGTGTTGAAAAATTGAACAACTCAACATTTTTTGAAAATATTCTGCCAGAAAAAAGATACAATTGCTTAGGCAAATAATGAAAAAGTAAACAAGAATTAAATAAAAAAATAGGAATTTAAAATAGACTCGCTCTATGAGAAATATGAGACACCTTAATATGAGCTAATTTGTTTGTTTTTTCTTGACTAAATTTATTAATAACGTACTTACATTAGATAAAACTAATTATTTAATTAATACTTTTAACTTTGTATTCTTATATGATGGCCCTTTCTTGCACTTTTTTACCATCATTTTGTGTGTAATACATAAAGGGGCGCCCTTTCAAAAAATTATTATGCCTGAGAATCCCTAATGACTTTTTCTTCTTTTTTTGTTTCTTAATTCTTTGAAAGAGGCATAGTTTCTCACACTATTTAATTTTGTTATCTACTTGATGTAATCTCTGAGGATTATGGTGATTAGTCATAGTGTAGTTAATTTTGATTCCTGTGCCATTTTACATTTGTCCTAATCCAGATCATGCATTGAGTAAAAGTGGTTAGGTTTATATTTATTTTTCACTCTGTCTCCTTCATTCAGTTTTATTTTGTTTTCAGTTTTTGGTGAGAATTGTCCCTGTCCAAAATCTGGCTAGAGATACGTGTAACTCTGATCCTAGAAGAAAGCATAAGATTTTCAGAGTTCTGTTATGAGTAGGGACAATTAATATTTTGTTAATTTACTTATTCAATACAATGTTGTACTATATTTTATTTATTATTCTGTGAAATTTGTATCAAGGTGATTCACATGATTAATTATTATATTTATTTTTTTTTTACTAGTAAGAACTTTAATAATTTTGAAATTCAATAATGAGTTGTTTTTTCAATTCAGCTGTAAACTTATTTTCATTTCCTGATAAAACTAATACTATTGTGGAAGACTTATGACTAAGGAGAACACTTTTATCTGAATTTTATAAGGATATTAATCCTTCAAAGTTTCAAAAATATGTATTTTTTTTAATTGAATTGATTAAAAATTTTCTAATCTTTAACGGATCTGTAATTAAATCATCATATGTAAAACACATTAAATATACTTGCCAATATATTTATATTGAGTATTATTTAATTTATTTAAATTTCTATGGGATATTATTATTTAATTAGTTTCTACTTAATTTTACAGTTAAGTTATCATGATTTAATATTAATGTTGCATAAATTTAACAAACTAGTTCAGAGCTTATGCCTATCTGAAAGAAGACTATCCCAAAACATAAATGGGAAGTATTATCTACTTCTCGGGCAAAAATTCAATTTGTAACAAGCAAGACACAATATTGACCATTATTTAGTAGATCATTTAAACAAACCTGCTTATGTGTTTTAATAAATTATAACACTTGATTGCATATAAACATTCTTTATTGGCTTTTATCTTGTTAATAAAAATCTAATTTAGCATCTTACTCAATTTTGTATTTAATGTATTAAACTTAGTAATGAATATATTTTGTGCTTATAGATGATTATGGTGGAGACATAGAATTGCAAGAACGGCCAAAAGCTAGAGCTTCTGTTAAAGGTAATTCAATCTAATTTTTTGCTTATTTTCATAAATGTTACAAAAGTATTTTTGAATATGTTGTACAAATAAAAAAATATGTTTACCATTTATATTTCAATGAAATCTTACATTAGTTTAAAACCAAGCAATTGTATAGATATATTCAGGGTAATTCAGTTCACCAGTTGCAAATTTGAGTGAGAGGTTGGAATAATCATTAAGTTTTAGAATTACTTTGCGACCCATTGCCTGAAATGTCATCGTTTGCCGCTGGAGGTGCTTCCCTTTAACGGAGTAGTTGTACATGCACATTTAAACTGGCAGTTTAATGTTTTCTAAGAACTATTGTCCAGTATACTATCCCCATGAATAGCTGTTTATTGTTTTGGCAACTAACCTGCAGAACTCATCAATTAGGTTTTTAATTCAAATTATAATAAAATAGTTATTTCTTGACTTATACCTATTTGAATGCAATTTTTGACAATAAATATTTGGTAGGACAAACAATAAGATAATTTAGATAAATGAGAGAACTGGTTCAAAAGCTGTAGGTTGACATTTCTGACTGTGTGTTATAATTCTTATGGTTTGCTTTACTTCCCCTCTAATTTTAAAACTACTATAATGACTCATCCTGTATAAACATAATTTTGTATTCTCAGGGCTTCTTTTTATCTTAGGGTTTAATGTGTATACCCTGTATTTTTTTTCTGTTTGCTTTTTATTTGATTCCATTTAATAATATCAGCTTATTTTTATCCTGAATACTACCTGTTCATTAAAATGTAAGAAATGACAGTATTCATGATAATTTTAAGCCATTTTTTTTAAAAATATAAACTGTTTTTTAAAAATATGCATTCATTTTTTATAGATGTCACAAGAGACCTCAGAGATAATTTTTTCTATTTTCTTGAGTAAAATCTTACTCTAAAGTATATTTAAGAATCTAAAAAAAAATTATTTAAAGAAATAGAATGAATATTTTGATATTTCCTATCTTGTCATGCAAATTATCATAAAGTCTTATCTGTCTAAATCTAGGAATACATAGATTAAATAATACTTATCATTTACTAATAATAATTAAAGTATGTAAATTTTTAAAATTTTTCTCTGTGGTCATATTAAAGAAATTCATTTAAAGTAATTGATTATTTAAAAATAATTTTAATATTTCTCTAAAAATCAAATAAAGGTTGTTAAATTTAACTGATTTACGAAACTTTTTATATGAGAGTAAGACTTCGAGTTCAGCGAGATTTTTCCTATTACAATTCAAATACAAATAAATGTTTTAAACATTTCTTTTACTTGGAATTTCAGATAGTTACTCTGTTTAGAAACTAATTAAATCCTACTACTTTAAGAAACAATGTTCATTTTATCCATTGTTTAAGTAATAATGTTCAAGCAATGAAAAAAAGATACAGTATCAAAATCTAGCAAATCACAACTGAGGAATCAGGGCTGAAAGCACTAAAACCAGTTTGACTGACTGAGGTAAAAAGGAGTTTAATTATTAAAAATTATATTTATTTTTAATTTAAATTGATTAAATTTTGACGTGTTTATAATTATCACAGTTCACATATTTTCTGTTTCCTCTGGCAATCAAACTGGTTTTGAGGTTTTAATATTTTTTATCCTGCCTTTCTGAGTAGATTCATTAGATTTTGACAGCATTTTTTTCCCTCTCACATATTAATTGCTTCGACTAATGCACTAAGAGAGGTCATCTGATATGTGTGGTTTTAATAACATTTATAAATTTCAAGAAGAATATGAAACTATGCATATGTTATGAAACACCTTAGATATATATATTTTCATATTCTTAGTTTATTAAATTAAATAAAATTTTCGAAATAATTTTTTGTTCTTGCTTACTTTCTACTCATTTTTTCCTTACCGTAGAAAAACAAGCTATTCTAGCCACTGGAGTATTTTAAACAATAAATTTTTAGAAAGGAAAAGTTGCAATGCTTCATGTATGTAATATAAGTGTTTGTTTTTTTAAATAATAATAATACGACTATTTGTTCATTTAAATTTTTTTAATCATATTACACAATTTATAATTTAAGGAATTATAAATAAAATATAAACATATAATACTCAAATTGATATCCATGATTGGCACTCTGGCTAACAGAAAAGTACTAGAAAGTCTGTGTGTTTCAGCTTCAATAGACCTTTGCTCCATCTTTGTATTTGGTAGACCTTTAACTAAAATGGATTTTTAACATTTGCGTCATACCCTTTAATGCAAATCGGTCTGACCTACGGCAATCATTTTATTTTAGCCTGCAAATTAGTACAAAATATTTTTTTAAAAACGAAAATGGTAGTTTTAAGATGCTTTATAGCATATTTCTATATTTCAAAATATTTACAACATTGTCTCAATTTCATGAAGTGTCACTCTCTCTATTCTGAAGTTAAATTTTTTATTTCTGAAATATCTTAAAAAAAACCGGAGAAAAAAAAGCTAAAAATTGAATAATATATATATAAAAGTCACCTCCACACACAGAGTAAAAGCAAGAAAGAAAATCGCAAATTATAAAAATTTAGATAGAAGGAATGAATTAACAATGAATACATCTTTTATTATAAATTAATTAAACAATCAGTTTTAAACACTCCCTATGTTAGTTTTTCAAAAAATCAATGAATACTCTGTTTGCAGTACCATTTTGATTAATCTCCTTCGGTGGTTTAATAAAAATTTAGCTTTACTTATTTAAAGGGCAAATGACAAGGGTTAATATACGTGTCAGACCCCACCCTTAAAGTAGTCAATAACTAGTTTATTTATTTAATGAGGCAAAAAAGGCTGTTCTTAACAAAAGATTAAACTATTCAGTTCTAGCTGTCAAATAAACTGGTTTTTTATTATTTTAATCCATTGCTGTAAATGATCTTGATAATGATTTTTTTTAGCATCCTTAATGTGTAGCTTTTTATGACTTTAATTCCAACAAGAATTTTTAAAAAATTTAAAACTCCCACTGAATGGTGCTTTTGAAGGACTATCTCCAACTTTTTAAAGAAAGATATGAGTAGTTACCTCTTCATACCAAGTTTATTAAGTCTATTACAAATACCAATTTTAGATTTATTTGCTACATAGTATATTTGTTTCCGTTGGATATTTTTGTTCAATGTTAAATATGACAAGTTTTTTATCATTTAGCTCACTAAAGCAATAGAAGAAATGGATAATAAAACAGCTTCATGAAATAATTTAGTTTTTAAAATAAAATTTTGATGGGTTTTTATTGTTTTTGATAATTAAAAAAACTTGTTTTTATCAACAACAAAAAATCATATTTGTATATCACAGCAAATTAATTTTTTCTTCTGGTTGTTTTTTCTCGAAACTTAAAATATTTATAGATTCCTATCTGTAAGGTAACCTTTTTTTCTTAAAACATCTTTTATCAACATCTCAAATCCTAAAATTAAAATGTTTTCAGCTCTGATAATTTTATATCCATTATCTTCAAAATTAGCTGAAAAACTATTATTAAAGCTATTCTATAGGCATTTTAAAAACCATCTTGAAGAATATTTTTAAAATCGTACAAACCTGCATAATGTATATTTTCTTGTTCTAGAATAATTGGGGCCCTGCAAATGAGGGAAGATTGATAATTTGCTACTGTCTGCATAATCACTGAACATTCACATAATTTTTATTTTTTAAGAACTAATGGCAAATTTAAATCTTGATGGTGACTGTGTATTCAAAAATATTCTTGGAATGGGGGATCTATTTATAAAACTTGAGTATACTGCATACTAAGAATGTCTTGAAGTTCTAACCTGGAATTAATCAAATTCTAGAATTCAAAGGTGGTCTTATAGAGATTTCCGAAACTTACAAGAATAACAAGTGCTCTCTATGCTGTCTAGTTCAGTAAGCTGTAATGGCTAAATTTTTATGAAATAAAGGCAAAATTCAAAGTAATGTTAAGGTTCTGGATTAACCTCATCTTAACAGGTTGGGCTGGGCGTGGCATCAATGAGTGCCTCAGCTCATGAATTCAATAAGACGGCATGACTGTATTATGTGCCACATTATAACGTTAAACATCTAGACACATAAAGTCCACCAATTGTGTGAAATATTTATATATGCTGCTAAAAAAATTACTCTACACCCGTGCTTAATCTGTTAATAATCGATTTGATACTGAATATGCATATTAATTAACTTAAAATTTTTATTGTCATAACTGAAGCATTGTAAATTAAACAAGGAAGAAAAGGAAAAGCACATTTTTTTACATTTTAGTGTTTTTCTAGGTTGCAACCTGTCTGCATAATTTATCGGGCCCTAAGTTGATTAGTTTTATAAAAACTTTTATAAACAGAAATACTTTATATATAACCTTTGTTCCAGGTAAAGTAAAAACTGCTCCTAAACAAAGTGAAGGCCAGTCTGATTCATCTTCCCCTGAAAGGTAAGCAAATTGTTTTTTTATTACAATAATATTAAAGTTAACTATGAGGTGTGGCTATTAAATTAGGAGACTAATGCTTCTACGAGAAACTAGGCGTTCATCAAATGCAAAAGACTAACGAATGAAGCTTTCTGTTTCAAAAGTGTGTTTCCCGTGTCTGTAAACAATTTAATCTCAGCTTGGCCATTGTTTGTATAAGAGTTGCTGTTTTGTTTTGCCAGAAAAATTATGTGTGTAATAACAGTGCAATTAATCATTATGGAATTTTTCACGAAACTTGGAAAAGCGCAATTAAAAATTATTTTATATTACAAAAAGGTGTTTGGCAATAAATGTTTATCACATTCGTAACTTTTTAAGTGTTTCCAAGAGACATTGAAAAGGATTTATGCCCAAAGCACCCTTCCGTGTTAAAAAAATAAATAAATAAAAAATCTGACTATTCGTACAATTGCTTGAACCATAAACTGACAAAGAATGTTATACTTAATTTTTTTAATGTGCATAAACGGTGTGTAAAAATGGTGTCTTAAAGGTCTTATCTTAAAAAGAACAAAGCTTCAATAGAAATATCACAGTCATAAACGAGCTAATTGAGGAAGACTTCGAGGAACTCTACCATGAGCTTCCTGGAAACTAGTTCCATCTGGGATTGATGTCATATTTTAGTGGAAATTTCTTTTTGGCACCACCTCCCCATGGAAACTGTTACTAGCTAAATGTGAAGCTGGGTTTTTGCTAGATCTAAATGGCTTTCAAAATGATATTTGAATGAGAAATATTTTGTTTTATTATTTTATGTAAACAAAAAAATCCTTTTAGATGTAACTGAGAAACTACAGTCTAAGAAATATAAATTACTCTTCCATTTTGAGATAATTGTTAATATATCTATAACATGAGAAATAATCCCTGATCAGTACCTCTTTCTGAAGTCCCAAACATTTTTATACTTTGCTATTAATAGATTTTTAACTCATTTCATAATTAATACAGTACAGAACCCGTTATCCGGAAATCAGAAAACCAAAAAACCGGAACAAGATTCGATTAGTTTTCCCGCCATTTTTAAAAATAAAAAAAAATTTCCTCATAAGATTTTAGGATTTTTTTTTTCTATTTTGAAAGATGTTTACCTTACCATCATTTTGGAAATAATCATTAGTGTATTACTTCATCGTTTTTTCTTCGTTTTCAGATTATTTCCAAAATTTTTTTTTAGTTGGGTTTAACAATAAAAAAAACGGCTTTTTGTAGCGATTCAGAAAACCGGAAAAATCAGTTATACGGAATATCGATGCCCCGATCGTTCCGGATAATCGGTTCCCTACTGTAGTGTTTTTTGTACTACTATTCTTTGACAGATGGCATCACAATCAATGGCATTTATTACAAGCAATACATTACATAAAAAGTATTTAAAACTTTCAAAGGAAAATTATGGTGGCAAGAGTAATTATAATTTTATATTGCCTTTATTTCATTAAAATATGCTGTGAAAACAGACTTACTGTAAAAAAGTATTGTATAAAAATGATTTATAAGTAAAATATTACAAATTCGGAGAAATTATTTTTAACAAATTTATAAAATAATGCAATATTATGTGAACGTTTTTGTTTATGTGAAAGTTTTGTATAACTATTTAAACATTTCTTAAGTAATTAGGTAAGAATATAAACAAAAACTAACGAACTTTTTTGGAATTCAATTTAAAGTTATGATTTAATTGAAAATTAAATATTCTTGCTGTATTACTTATTTTTTTAGAAGCTGTACTCATGTATAAAATTGCCTTTACCTTATGTATTGTAATGTATGCAATATTTTAAAAGTCACATTTTTTGTTAGAAATATCAATAATTTAATAAAGAAAAATGGTTTTGTCATATGAATTAAATTTAAAATGATATCAAAACTTTGTTAAAAAAATAGTTCATTATAAAGTATTTGCAACATTATTTTTAATGTAGTGAAAGTAAATAACATTAAAAACAATAGATAGCTCAAAATGTATCAAAAATACAAGTTTATTTTGTAATCTTATAAACACATTCAGTTTCATTTTATTAAAGCGAATGTTGTCACATTAAAGAAAGTAAATAATAATTAAATTGTGTGATTGGTTGATTTGTAGTCAGACTCTTAGAACAGGAAAACCTTGTCAAAGTGGAATTTCTTTTTCCTAGCAGTCAGGTATAGTGTTGAATGTTAGGGGGGAACCAAACTTTCCCAGCTGGTAATCTTCATTCCATTCACATTAGCTCATGGTAAAGGCTGAGCATTATTTCAAACAATTGAAAGTCGTCTGGAAGGGTGTATATTAAAGGTGAGAATAACTTAAAAGGTATGAATTCAAAATATAATATTTTACACCTATTGTCTTGTTATTTAATAGCCACTCCTCGTATTGACAAGGATGAACTTATTATTAAAAATGTACCAATTAACTATGTAATTTCTTGTCATTGTGAAAGATAAGTCAAGCATAGACAAACCACTATTTAAATGATAGATTTTGGAATAAATAAAAAATATTGTGTGTCTAGCATTAAAAATTATTCCTTAATTATGAATTTTATTCGAAATAATAAAATCTGTTGCCATTGAGTTACCAGTTAACAAATCCAAGCAATTCGTAAGCAAAGCAAATCCAAGCAAAATTGAAAGCAAGCAATTTCATTATTATCTGTATGACATCTTGATTTTGCAAACTAGTAATCATGCAAAGTCTGTGGAATATAAAAGTAACATAAAGCCTCCATTAAAAATTTATGGGCTTTGTTTTATTGGGTAAAAGTTGACTACGAAACTATTTGCTCTGCTCGAAAAAAAATTTCGGAGTTACCCTACAGTTTTTTCTCAAATACTAATATAGCATATTTATCCAACACCCTTGCAAATATGGAGTTATAATGCTGATTTGTATTCACATAGAAAAAAGGGCTTAACTACTGACCGATGTTGTTCCATATGCCAATCATATTTTTTCTGCAGTACTGCTGCCCAATTTAAGCTTTAACAATAGAATAAACCACTGACATTTCTTCGATGCTGACATATCTTCATTGAATTATACTTTTTCAGTTTTAAAAAGAATGAGAATTGACCTGACGAAACATATCACGCCAGAATTTTGTAGTTGTCACTTTCTTTTTTGTTTGTGACCAATATTATTTTTGACTAACATAAAAAAAAAATTTGTTTCCACCTAATTATGACAAAATACATGGTTATAGACTGAAGCAACATAACCTGAATCAGATATTAGGTATAAACTGTTTCATAGAATGGGCTGTTTGCAGTATTTTGAAAAGATGAAAACTAAGTTTCTATGCCTGGAGTAAGAATAAATCCTAGTTTTATTCATTCACTGTTTAAAATATTGCACAAAGCAGTCATGTTGTATTGGTGCTTTTAGCTTGCTTAGACTTTCTTTTTTGCTATATTTGTTTGTAAGGACTAAATTTGTTCTAAGTGAAAAGTGGCACCTATGTAGCATTAAAAGTTTATAGAGAACAGTTGGAAGAATACTACACAGATTGTGTATAACTAATTAACCACTTTGCACAAACAAGTTAATATACAGTCATTCTGAAATTGAATATATCCAAAATAGAACAGTGCACTAAAGGTACAGTTTTTATTTGCAGAAGCTGGACCAAATGAAGATATTTATTGTTAAATGATGGCTGTTTCTAGTAGGCACAGTCTAAAGTGAACAGTTGTGAGGAAGTTTTCCAGTAAGAGTTACGGGGGTTGGACAAAATAATGGGAACACTTATCTACTAATTTGCTCTCGAATATGTTATCTGCTGAGAAGACCGGTTCTATGGCTTGACACTTCCCTCTCCTCCTCTTCTCAGTTGTATAGGAATATACTGTGATATTTCCCCCCTTTATGTTTATTTGTCACAAATATTTTTTAAAATTTTCTCAATGCTTTCTTTTGGAACAATGTTTAATGTAGTTTTCAATTCCATATAGTTTCCTAACTTAAAAGTTTTTATTCTATTTGAAAATCAAGATAGAAACTAACGTACTTCCTTCTCCTATGACTCTAAACACACACATGATGAAAACATGCAAAGTGTTGCCATAGGTAGAGAGTTTGCTCTACACCACTTGCTTCCCATTTCGATCGCAAATACATTTTTTTATATTTAAGAAATAATTAGAGAATCATTTTATAACTTCAGAACTGTTTAATATCATGTGATTTCTCATACTTATAAATGAAGTTTGAAAGCTTTTAGATATTTGAGAGACCGACAATAAGTGACAAATGGCAAATAATGTTTTTTAACACCCTATGCTAAAAAATATGGGAATAAGTTTGTAACAGCTATTTTGGTTATTATATGCGATAATTTCAAAAAAATTTCGTAAACCTAGCTTTGATATTTATGGAAAATTTTATAAACTAATTTTTTTTGCCGTACATTTTTTTGCTATAACTTTTTTGGAGCTTTAAAAATTTAAAAATATTTGCATAAAACTGTGCAATAGATGAGTAATTAAAGTAGTTCTTTTATACTGTGCATGCCCAGGAAAGATTTGAAAATTTTTTCTTATAATTTTGTAGAGAATCTTATTTGGCAACTAGTAAAAAAAAGTCTGATTTGAATATCTTAAAAATTTAAGAAGTTTCAAGCAATTTTCTAAATAGTTTTCATACTTTTTAAAAGACAGCTCAAAATGATGAGTGGTTTTCCACAAATTTTATTTTGTATTATTAAGCAAGATTTATTCAAAATGACACTAGCGTTGTTGGGGATCATCTCCTATAAAAGCATCTTTTGCCTGTTTTCTTATACAATCCTATTTTGATTTAATAAACGTTTATTATAAGGAATTATCATTTGTTATTTAATTTTGTCTTATACAAAATAATATTTGTAGAAAACCCCTTATTCTAAGTTTATTAAAAGTACAAAAAGTACTTTGAAAATTGCTTTAACAGGGTGCATAGCGTTTTTAAAAAGCGCTTATTTTTGATTTAGGTATTTTAAAAGCCCTTAAGGGTGCTTTTTTTATTCAGGGTTTGTAAATACTTAATTTTCTATCTTTGAAAAAAAAAATTCTTGCCATATCGTTGTTGTTCTAAATGACAAAAAATGCACGATTTTCACAATTTTCTCTTTTATATTTATAAAAAACTAATTGTTTTATCATGATTATTTAAAGTTTTTGAAAATGTTTTTGAATTTAATATTTTATGTTTATAAATCATATTTTATGCTTATAGATAGAAAAAAAATATTTTTATTACTGCACAAGTCCTAATTATAATTTTTTTTGGGGGGGGGGAAGTGATTAAAAAACATTTTTTGAGTGTTTAAAAAGTACTTAAAAGGTGCTTATTTTTTGTGGAAAAATCTGGCTACGCACCCTGTTTTTAAATTTTTAAGATATTCAAATTGGACTTTTTTATTAGTTGTCAAACAGGATTCTCTACAAAATTATGGAGAGAAAAAAAATTTAAATTCTTTTGACACATGCATAGTATAAAAGTAAAGAACTACTTTAATTACTCATATCTTGCGTAATTTTAAATTGCTCCAAAAATTTTATTTAATTTTATAAAATATTTTGAAAGTTATAGCAAAAAAATGTAAGTAAAAAAAAATAGTTTTTTTAAAAGTCCATATATATCAAAACTAGGTTTATAAATTTAGCGCAGTTATCGCATATAATAATTACCAAAATAATTGTTACAAGTTACAAATTTTTTCTTACATTTTTTGGCAATGGGTGTTCAAAAACACTATTTTCATTTGTAATTTATTGTTGGTCACTCAAACCTCTCTAAAAGCTTCAAACTTCATTGAGAAGTATGAAAAATGTATCAATATAAGAAGTGTTTCCATTATTTTGTCCACCCTCTGTAGTTATATTATCATAGATATACCGACAACAGGATAAGTAAATAATCTAATCTCCAATAAATCTATCGCTGTTGTTAATAAAATGATTAGAAGTAATTAAAAAACTATAACTCTTGTCATCTAGGCAACACTTTGATTAAGGAATAGCCCATTGTGCAGCTCTAGTGTGGGGTAAATAAAGTATCCACCTACCTCTGAGTAAAGGAACAGTGAAATCTCTTTTTGCCACTAAAAACTGTACTATATGTTTTTTTGTTTTTTTCTGGACCATTCAGTTATAGCAGGCCTTTATATTCACTTTATTATTTATCAACATTCTAAACCTCTTTTTGTAAAAATTTCCTTGCCACAACAAAAATATTACTTTTTCCCCCAATTTTGAATACTTTTGTAAGCTAACGGCTTTTACCAAACAAACTACAATTTATGCTAACAGAAGGTTGTGGAAGAACCGACCTGTGAGGTTGTTCCAAACAAACCCATTTAACTTCTAGTGACCCAAGCATACTGAGTTCAATATAAATTTCAAAATTTAAAAATCTTAGTTGGAGGTTAATAGAAAGTTCTAGAAGGTGGAAACAAGTTAGATAGGAACCTAATAAACCTATAAAAATTTAAGATTTTATAAATCTCTCAACAACAACAAAAATGCTTAAGGAAAAATATTCTTTGGAAGTTCTTTGAACTGCAGAAAAAAAGAGAGACTGGAAAATTACATTAAACCTGAAAAAAAAATATATGTAAATAATTGCAACTCTAGTTCATTTAAATAAAATCAGGAACTAAAGGGCTATGCGGTCAGCAGTAATAGAAGAAAAATAGTATTTTTAAAATAAAATTGGTGAAAGTAATGATAAGCAGCCCTATAAATACAGTACATAGCAGATTATAAGCAGTCCCCCAATGTGTATTATTTTATCTGCTATGTAAAGATTTTTAAAAAAATCCACTGTCCATCTTTAGTAACTAATTAAGGAAAATCCATTGGCCTTTCAGTTAGGAATACAAGTCAATTGGACCATGGGTTTTGAGTCACAGTCTAGGAATTGGCTATGTAAGCTTATGTCAATCAAAATGCAATTTCAATTAAATGATTCTATATCTGTAGAACAAGGTGGCCTAGAAATAATGCCTGACGAGTCTGGTGTTACTCTAGTTTTTAAACTTTTGAGAGAGTCTATTATTATTTTTTTTAATTTTATTTATCAAAGTCATGATAAAATAAATACTTTCAGACAATTATTTATTTTCTGTTTTTAATTACATCAGAAGAAAATGTCTTTTTGTCAACATTTCTCTAGTTATAAAAAATTTTTGCTTATGCTTAAACTTTTGAAATTGTGTACAAATAGTACTAGTGAATACATAGTTGACAAATTTACTTATTACATGTCTTGAACGGGAAGCTACTTTTAAGATTTAGAGCAATGCAAGACCTTTGGAAGAAGTTTCAATCCCTCAGGCTCTTGACATTAAAACATATTTTCATCAAATAAGCTTGCTGTTATCACTGCATAACAGAAAACAAAACAAAATGCCAGAACCTAACTCCAAAAAAAAAAAAAATAGAATTAATGAATGGATTAATAAGAAAAAATGTGTTAGCATAAAAAAAATAATTACAAATTATTAACATTTTATTAATATTAACCATAAATTAAATATGATCCTTGATTGGTTGAAGATGTTAAAATATTTCCTCCCTGCTTAAAATAAGTAAATTCCCAAGACATGAACCTAAACTTGCTAGATGATAATTAATTGGAATATTGCTGATCGGAAAAAAAATAGTAGCAAACAAATTACAACTTCAATTGTAATTCAACAAATTATTAATACTAACAAATTCAATTTTTGCATCTTATAAAATTGTTATTTAAAAATTGGAACATATTAATTTAATAAAAATAACTTACAACATGAGATTGTGCAATATCCTAATTCATTACAAACATTCACTAAAATAAGAGCATGATTATTTCAAACAGTCATATTTTGGTTGACAGTAATTATAAAGTTGTATATAATTAGATAAAAACTTATAAAGCAACTTCAGTCAGTAAATACTTTTAGTGAAAAAATTGTTAAAAGATGTGAATTTTTAAATCAACCCTTTCCTCTTTGGCTACATGTCCTAAAAAGTTTGAAAGATATATGAGGATAATCTGAAAAATGAGCTTTCCAAAGCTTGTAAAAAAAACACAATTTTCTGGAAAGATTTATTGCAAAATATACAGATATATTTCAGCTACTTCTCAACATTAGAATCACCAGGATTGTATCACTTGTCATACCATAGGATATGTTTTTGTAGTTTAGTATCATGGTAGTGTGCTGCCTGAAAATCGAGCCAGTGTGTCTCTGCTTTCTACACACCTTTGCGGAAAAGTTATGCCCAGCCAGGAATTTCTTCTTTGGGTGCAAATAGCTGGGAGTTAAATTGGGAATATAGGATGGTTGATCTGACACATCCCTGCAAAATTTCTGCATAAAATTCTTTGAAGAATTTGTCATATGCTAGAGAGTGTTGTCCTGTAGCAATACCACTCCACCACTGAGCATTCAATTCCTCTTGTTTTGAATGGCACTAAGTTCTCTAGTGTTGTAGAGAAACAATTTCCCTCAAACAAAGATGTGCAAACAGCTCTGACATGCTGGCTTAATTCCAAGATATCAGACTTTAATACAGGCAGAGTAAATCTATAGAGTGTTAATAAGCTAATAGCATATTTCAGTTTTACCTAAATGTAAATCTTCTTTCATTTTTCACCTTTTTTTTTTAAAAGAATTTACAATTCGACGATTGCACATTAATGTTACAATTTTCTTTTTCTAGACCTCCCGAACCAACTAGTGTTGTACGGCGAAGATCATCTGTTGGAATTCAAAGGCAAGCTTCTGTTTGTTTATCTGATGATGAGGATCAATCATTTGAGGTTCATAAACAACACCATCCTACTTGTACCCCAGATCATCAAAAATTACCTGAACATTCGCACCGAGATACAACTAAAGTTGCAGCTATTGTTCATCACAGCTGTAATGATAAACCTCTAATACCACATAGTTGGGATCAAACATCAGTGTGTTCTTCCACTTCACAACCTGTTATGGGAATTCGTCATCCTCCTTTCATTCATTCACATTCATCACCTGATTCAGGAACCACTGCAGGTGTTCTTGACGCCAAACATGCTCGAGTATTAAGTACTGTTTCCTTACATGGAATACCCCCAGAAACGCTTGCCCGTGTGGTTGATCTAGAAGATTACCATTACAGTAGGCAGCAACTCTGGGAACTAGCTGCTCAAGGTGCAACTCTCCTAAAAGATAAATCTCAATCTAGTTTAGATATTGCCATTGGAGCAGAAGGATGGACTGTTGATCCTTCCGAAATTCAACAAGCCACTAGCACTGAAGCAGGTATTTTAGAACAAAGTTTAGAACAGCATCAATTAGAACATATAAGATTACTTCTCAGAAGGTATTCTCCTGTAGATGAAGAAGATGTAAAAATATGGAGTAAAGTGCGTTATAATGATACTGGGAGTAGGGAGGACATTCGTGAAGAAGTTATTGAAATGATATCAGGAGAAAGTTCTGATGATAGTAATTGCAGTATTGAAAATGAGGTGCTAAAACAACAATCGCGACAACTATGGGAATTGAGAGCTACTCTTGAAGAAGAGGAAGACAAACTCAGTGATGCAGTAGAGCTAGAAGAAGATCCAATAGAAGAAGGTACATTAGGTGTCCAAGACGTAACAGCTTCACATGCCACATCATTTGAATCTAATGCAGATGTTTCTTGTGATGATCCTGGTTATGAATGTGATGAAAGTGATTACTTACAACTTCCTTCTCATGAGTTACGTCGGCATTGCTATAAAAGTTTATTGACTAGGCGCTTGCAGAAACGTACACCTGGTACTGAGAGTAGTTTTGATAGTGTAGAAAGCTCATCAACCGATAGGACAGAAGGTGCTACTACATCATTTGAATCTACTACTGATAATACTGATAGTACAGGAGAAAACCAAACAAATAGATTGCAACAAATGAAAGCAGATAGTGGTTATAAATCAATGGAAAGCAATGGTAAAGCTCCCCGTTTATGTAGAAAGCAATTACAATTTACCCTTGAAGGTGACAGTATGGATCAAATGATGACAACCATGGAAGGTACATTTGATGAAGAAATAGAGATATTCAAACCTGATGTACAAATAACTGAGTCTATTAAGACCAAATCAATGGAAACTTCCAAGGTAGTCTCATTTGAAGGTGTGATGGTTAAAGATGAAGGTCTTCCACCGTGCAAACCCCAGGTGCACAAAAAGAAATACAAGAGTGCCTTGAAAAAGCACAGTACTGAAAGTGATATACAATGGAGTGAGCAAACTGAAATGGTGGTAGAGACTCGTGGCAAAACATCAGTTTTTCAAAGGTTCTTCCGCTCAGGGCGTCTTAGATTTGATAACCTGCAACAGTTTAGAGACTACAGTATAGATGAAAAGTCAGATGCTTTATTTAAGGAATTTTCTCGTCATGATTCTGAGGGTGAATATTATCGTAATCGGGGTACACGACTCCATAGTCACATGAGGCTTCATCATAGATCACTGCCATCTACTGAAAGTAGTAGCCCTCATCTTCCAATATCAGTGCTTTCACCTCAAGTCAGCATTGAAGAAGAAAGCTGCGAAAGTGGAGGGGAGGAGGATAAAGCTAAGGCAGCTGATAAGCAGGAACAAATGAGTAGTCCTCATGATACCCAAGCTCAGATCCCTGTGATATGTCTCTTACATGGTGGAGAACAACAGTAATTATTACGCAAGAATTCTTATAGCCATATCGTGGGACCGAACCATGACTCTAAGTATAACAGTATTGTATTCTTTGTAAAGTTGTACAGTATATACCATTTGGGCACAAAAGAATGCAGTTAAGATTGATATTAATTTGCACCTCTTTGCTGCCTGTACAGTCATATGTTCAAAAATATGTTTTAAAGGACTGAGGAAGTTATTTGAAAGAATGTCCTTATGCCACACAAATATTTTCATTTTCTAAACATCCAAAGTTCCAAAACTAAGTATAGAGCTATAGTTTATTTCTGCTCACTATTTCTCAATTCACAGCTATTATGTTCACAAAGTGCCAAGATGCTGAAAAATTTGAGGTCTGACATTTTTACTGACATAGATTGATTTGATGAGTGATTATATGTCAAGATTGACTGCATCTCACATTTTTTCTTATTCTGTAAATAATATGAGAAAATGTACATGTTGTTAAGTGTGTTTTAACTTATGCACCTGCAGAAAATGGCAAGATAATTTAATTTTTTTATGACGATGCCTTTATTTGCAATTGTTTTTATGTAGTCTTCATATTCTTGGTTTTGATTAAGATCTTGCACAAGATGCATAACTTAATTTTTTTTAATAACTTGAACTGCCAAAATTATAAAATAAAAATATAAAAAACTGTGTCCTTGTGACTAATTTGAATTTTTTATTTTTCTAAAATGTCACATGAATAAAAGGTTTAATCAAAACTGGTTTGTTGTAAACTGAGCTTGAAGACATTTTCATTTTAGTTTAGTAACATCATCTTCATCTATTAAAATATATTTGTTTTAAAATATTTTCATTTTCATTTGAAAAATCTTTCTATAAAAAGAAGTTTTACTGAATCTCAGTTTAAAAAAAACAATAAAATCCAAGATGATTTTGGAAACTGTTGTCTTAAAATATTTCTTCTTATAAATAAATATGTTTATTTTTTCTCTCTTTCTCTTTTTTTTTTCTTTTAAACTTTTTAAAATACATTAAAAATCCTCACTTGTAATAGAAACTTGAAAAAAAGATTAAGCAATTATGTCTTGTTTTTATTAAAACAAAAATATTTGAACATCATAGTTTTAAGAAAAGTCTTCCATTCAAAAGTCTAATTTTTTCCTAGTCCGGATTAGATTGATTGAAATATTTTAAAAACATAATCTAATGGGCTAAAATAAAAAAAAATTTAAAAAATATTCAATAATAGTAGAAGTATTACTTGAAAGACAGTCATAATAAATATTTGTTAAATTATTAAAGTTGATTACATTACTTCAAATAGATTTCATGTGGCTTAAGTATTTATTTAATAATGATTTAATGCATTAAAAAGTACATATAATAACCTTTGTCAGTTGATTTTAGACTAAAATATTTACCAAATAATTTTATTTCACATTTTCTCAACTTAAAATTTGCATTCAAATTATTTGATATTTTATGATTTTTATACATTTTTAGATCAATTTTGAAAATTTCAGATGAAATATTGTTTAAATAATACTTCAGAACAGGGATGCCCATCCCCCTCAACGCTTATGGGGACATCCCCTAAAGTATGAAAAATCATTCCCCCTATTTTTGCAAACAGCAAAAATACATATAAAATATTTATTAAAGTAACAATATTTTACCTATATCTGATCTATCTCAATTAAATTCTCTGTTAGAAATATTTTATAAAACATTATTTTCAGAAGACAAAAATATCATTGTGAATAATAATCACGAAAAAAAAGCACTGAAAAAAATAATAAAAAGAGGCCCTTAAAATAACAATGCAAAATTGATACACAAATTGGTGGTGATAAGTTGCCCTCTTTGCCAATTTTATAAATTTAACGACCCATAACATTCAGGCTGTTCCGCCCAAATTTAATTTTATTAAACATTCAAATGTAACTAGATATTTGTTAAAAAATTTATTTATAAATAAGAATTTAAAGAAATTTTTTAACATTTTATATTTTTTTAATTACATAATAGTGTATTTTCATATATTAGGCATACATCGCAATACTATCTCAAGGTGTTTATCTTCTGATTAGTTAAAAATATTACAAAAATGATAAAATTTCATTACAAGGAAGTTTATCTGATTATCATATCACAATACAATAAGTGTAATTATTTAGTATTAGAAAATTTTTAAAGCTCATATAAAAATGTGAAAAGTTCTTTTTTCCAGATTTCAAACCATAGAGGTGAAATTTAATGAAATGTGCACATCACTAATAATTTTTGTACTTTTTATGGAACCACATGACTGTAGGGCAAATCAAGAGAGTATTTACAGCCTTCAGTTTCTCCTTGTTATTGATTGCAGACAAAAGCTGTCTGATCAAAGCTGCAGCAAAAGAAACCTACTAAAACACCTGCAACTTAGTTTCTTGTGATCAGATATTAAAAAACTAAATATTTTCTTGAAGCTAATGAACTAATTTTTAAAAAAAGTAAAACAATAAACTCGATAAGAATTTTTGAAGAAAATCGCGATTTTTGGGTAGTCGGATACCTTTCGTAAAACTTAAGTGGTCGCCATCTCAACCTATAAAAGAATTTTTTTTTTTTTTTAAATTCTTAATGTTTGTTGTATGCAGGTTAACAGTTTATGTGTGATCATGCGATTGAGGCTTTGAGGGAAATTCAGGCAGCCAAAGAAAAATTTTCTATCGAAAAAATATGACTTTGCAAATTTTACCTTGTTAAAAAACATAAAATATCAGTTTGTGTATTTATTAATTGGAATTCCTTTAGGTTTATGAGTGGGACCTTTAATTTAATAAATTAATACTATTTCAACATATTTTTATTCAATTCACACTTTTTAACAAATGCTCGTTTATTCAAGAATTGTATAAAATCAAGCAAAGTTCTTTTCTTATCTAAGCTGAACTTTCCAAATATATTTTTAAAAAGTTAATGTTCAAAAAGAAAATTTTTAAAATTTATGGGAAATTTTGATCCAAAAAAAAAAAACTTTGCTCTGAGGAAATATTAGGTACTGAGAATTCTTGTTTCTACGTGAATATTTACAATAAATATAATATATTCCATGTTTTTTTAAAGAGTTAATTTTTTAATTAAGTTACCATCAATATTTACTACAGTTATTAGAATAAATTTCCTAATTACATGTTATTTTATTATGTTATAATAGTTTAGTAGGTCAACATTCTAGTCTATACACCTGAGCATCAATCGAAAGAACAGTTGCAAATTTCGGTCTTATTCATACAAAGCTGAAAAATTAACTTGGAGTACTGAGGACTTTAAAACTATTTTATTTTTTATGCTCGCTTGCTTTGGGGAAAAGAGTTAAAATGGAAGTAAATTAAAACTGATTTTACGTATAAAGAATAAGATGATTGTTAAGTGTTTTTTTATAAGATAACTTTTTTATTTTGAATAATTAAAAAAATTAAGGGATTGGATAAATTTTAATTTGACACACTTTATATTTTCTTTACACCTTTTATTATTGACACACTTTATAATTATTTACTATTTTCTACACCAAAATTTGGGTTTTTGATAGTAATTTTCAAAACAAAAAGAATTTTATGTTATAATAATTCAAAAACATAATTATTGATGGAACACTCGTAATTTTACATGTATGTTAATTTAAAAATACTTCATATTAATTATGACTAATAACTACCGTTACGCCAAAATTTTGGGCTTTTAAAGTTCTTAAAAATATTTTTTGAGTACTTAAAATGTGCTTATTTTTTGTTGAAAAACCCTGTTATTAAATATTTGTTTTTACTGCTATAATGTTTGTAATTAATAATCCATTTTGTTCAAAAAGGTTAAATATATGGGAAAGTCGGCACTTAAAGAACACCTTTATGTTAAAAAATTAAAATAATGTAATGCCTACCTGAGACTATACAAATTAGTACAATAGTATTGGGAGTTATAATGCTATACAAATTATATCTCGTGGTCTAAGAAAGGCACTTTTTATAACACCAGAAAACTTTAAATTCCATACTGTTGTATTGCATCGAAATTTACATTGGTTGCGGCAGGGCACTATATGCAACGGTCATTCTACACTTTTGATTGAAATCGAATTATTTATACTTCATAAATCTTGACAATATGCCATATCTAACGTTAATGATTATGTGGTTTTAGTACATTTGTGAAGGTATATAATACATGAAGTTTTGGAGTGTATAGATTTGGCCAAAACTCTTTTATAACGGTTAATGGTTAACATTGTACACGAGCTAGGTCCCTAGCAACTTACAAATAAGAAAAAAACATTGTTAAATTTGCCAAATCTTAATTTTGTGATATATCTCCTACCTAAAGCGTAAGGTTATTATATTAAAATAATAAAAAATACTAGTTACAATTTTTTAGAGTAACATCAAAGTAATAATATATTATATTTAAATTTATTATTTCACGGACAAAGCAGGGAGCAGTATAAAAATTAACCATCTACCTCCTAATCAATCTAGACTATGTCACCTTTTTTAAGAAAGAAAAGTTACTATAAATTTTCACAAATATGTGGAATGTATGTTTGGTGTTTTGGATTTAACACCTAATACTTTAAGTATACGCACATGTTTTAAAAATTGATAGTGCTCCGCTGCTATTTTAAAGTTAAAAACATTAATCCAGAAGGGGAGAAAGTTCAATTAGAAATGACATTGTTTCTGTATCATTTCTTAGTTTAATCGTAGTTCCCTTACATTTATTCGAACTGTCTTGGCATTTGCATTCTTATCAGCTGTTTGTTGCCAAGTGCACTTGACATCTTCCATTACAAAAACTATAGTGCCTTCATCCACTAAGGTCTTCGGGATTAAAAGACTTGAATGAATGAAGGTTTTATAGTTTAGAGGTCTCTTTCAACCCGACCTAACTCAAACGGGTGAGACGGTAGGGAAAATTTTAAATGTGGTTTCAGTAATCTAAACCGCGGTGGCTCAGGGATTACAGCGTTCGCCTCCCAGTGAGTTGACCCAGGTTCAAATCCCAGCAGTGGCCGTTGACACGCACCAACCATTGTGCTGGCGTAAAATATCCTCAGCGGCAGACGGGTCTTGTGATAAAATCCCCTTGCCATCGGACTAACCGTGAGAGGCTTTCATGGTTTACCTCTCTATGTAACGCAAATGCAAATTTGTTCCATCAAAAAGTCCTCCACGAAGGCTAGTTTTTCTCAATGCTTAGTCCATTTGTTCCCTTGTCTTCACGGTTGGGTTCAAAATTACAAGGATACGAAGTTGATCATTAATAGTCGTCAACTCTGAATTGGATCGTCTTGTCAACACCGATTATAAAATAAAAGTTTGCTCAGAAGAAAAAACGATAAAAATCATCATTCATATGTTAGTGTATAAGTATGAAAAATAAAAATTTTTATAAAAAATTTTTTTACATTAATTTACAATGAAATTTTGCAAAAAAATTTCGAAATCTTACTTAAACTTCAATTTAGAGGAGTATTATCTATTTTGTTTGCGTCTTTACTAATATCGATAAATTATTTCCTTCAATTTTCATTCCATTAAGGAAGTTATTAGTTATTTTTGTCTCCTTCAAATAACATTTACCTTATCAGTAAGCAAATGTAGATTCTAAATAACCTCGGGGCATTTTATCAGCTTTTATTTCTTTTTTATTGAGATTAATAATGATAAACCTCGTTATATTTCTATCTATCATCTAGGGGCTTTTTGTCGTCAAGTATTTTGTAATCGTATTTCATGAAACATCAATACTGTGCCTAAATAAGAACATTATATTTTAACTTATTTGGCACAACATTTTTGTAAATTAATTTCCACAAATAAGTAGGAAAAACCTTATTTTTATTGAAGAAAGTGTATTTACAGGGTACGCACTTTGCACCAATATTATTGTTCTATTTGAAACTTACTTTTAAATTGTCGGACTTGTCATATTACTATTTGAAAACTACATTTTTAAAATTATCCCGAATTATACCCTTCACATATTTTTCGTTAACCTAGCGTCCCGCAGTGGGCTGATCGTTAAGACACGGTTCCCAGCAGATCACCGAAGTCAAGCATCACTGGCTGCGGTCAGCGTGCGGGTGGGTGACCACTTGGATCAGTCTGCGTAGGGACCGAGGGTGTGCGGTATTGGTCCTCGTTAAACTGTGCTACCGTAAAGTGCTCGACTTCGCGTGCAGGTCGTTGGGCTACCGAAGCGGGGGTGCCATCCCCTCCGCAGAGGATCAAAATTGTGATGGCATGTCTTCGGATCATTCTCAGGGATGTTTCCCAGACCGTCGCCAATAGCCCATTGTGCATCTCTAGTGCGACGTAAACTGCACAAAACTGCAAACTGTGTGCAGCTCTAGTGCGACGTAAACTGCAAACTTTGTGCGTAGCTGCACAAAGGTCTATTGGCGGCGGTCTGCGAAACATCCCTGAGGATGATCCAAAGACATGCCATCCCAATTTTGATCCTCTGCTTTGGTAGCCTGACAACCTGCGAGCGAAGTCGAGCACTTAACTGCAGAACAGTTAACGATAACCGATACCGCACACCATGGGTTCCTACGCAGGCTGATCAAAGTGGTCATCCACCCTCACACTAAACCGCAGCCAGTGATGCTTGACTCTAGTGTTCTACTAGTAGCTGTGTCTTACGATCAGTCCCACTGTGGGACCACAAATTATAGAGTTACAAATTATGCATTTATTACAAGCCAGAGACACAGAGAGCATCAAACCTTGCATGCCTGAAACTCTCAGAGTGTTTGGCGTAAGGATTATTTAATACTGTCGAGGAGACTCATAAGGACCTTGTCCAATTGAAAAGCAACAAGAAGTAAAAGACTACTGCAAAGAAATATAAATCTTGAGTGTCGGAGCAATTACAAATATTACAACAATAAGTATATTAAAAGAATAAAATTATTCTTGCCACCATTGAACACTATAAGAAAAATTCCGCTGCATTGAACACAATAAGAAAAAGTCCGTTAAGTGTTAAATGATTTTACCTTGCCCACTTAGAGATAATGCCCTTGGACGTAATTAGCAGTTTTGAATTAATCTAAAATTAAACATATTCTTATTTTCATCATAGTACTAACTTTGAATCGGTATATAATGTTATGGACATCATTTCAGTATAATTGGTTTTTTCAGATGCTTAAACACATAGCAACATGTTTGTAAAAATCATTTGAAAATATCTTCTAATTAGACAAATATTCTAAATTTGATCTCTTTTTTTATATTAAGTACAACGTTTAGTTTCTTTACCACTTCTTTCTAAGCAATATTCAAACCAAAAATTTATATAAATTTATACATAGCTACAATTCAGCTTAATTTATTAGTTGCGTTGAAATTTGATATCACTGAACGTATAAGGTATTAGAAGAACCTTATCAATCATTACCTCTTTTAACAAATAACCTTACTTAAATGCCTTATTCAGATAATTTTCAAGGTAGTAAGATGAATGACTGATAATGATTAAAGTTGATTATGAAGTATATTTTCCTTGCAAATTTCTTCGGCAGATTTTCCTCTTTCAATAAAAATTTTATCGAACAAAAACACAATAGTACTTTAAATTTACTATAAAAAATTACATTTATCATAATCAAAATTATATTTTTAAAAAAATATTTAAATTCCAGAACTACTTTAAGAATGTATAGCTAAGGTGAAAGAAATTTAAAAAATACATAAAAAATATTCCACATGAAGTAAACAAGGCAGTTTACTTTAAGAAGCTCTATTTTTTTATAAATTGGGTTTAAAATTTTAAAGGTGCAAAGTTGTAGCATAAAAACCATTCATTCGTCACTTAGATTTACTAGAATGCTTATAGCTTTTGATAAAAAATTTATTAAAATGTTATGCTCATAATTGCTGAAAATAACCGATTCTTATTTTAAAAAAATCTTATTCTAATTAAAATATTATTAATTGTATATTATAATAAAATGAATTACTGATATAATATTATCAAATAAATATAAATTTTATAAGATGAGCCAGAAAAATAAAAATTAGTAAAATTCAATAATAATACAAGAAATATTTGTTTTAAATAAACATATGCATATAAAAAATTTAGAGACTTGGTGCAAGAACAATGTAGGTTCAGATTTACAAATTATCTGAGCAAGAACTTGATATGTCCAGATTCACTAATTGTTGGTGCAAAAACAATGTAGATCTGGATTTACAAATTGTTGGTGCAAGAACAAAGTATGTTTAAATTTACAAATTATTGGTGCAAGCTAAATAAAATTTGTAAAGATAATAGTTTGATGTAGTTCTCTCCTTTTTTAATCTCACTGATGTAGACTTAACAAAACAACTGCATTTATCCATAATCAAAAATTTCTAACCATTATCATTAATTTCGTCCCACTTTTCAATCCTTGACGCAGATGGGACACTGATGTCTCTTTTTATTCATTTTTTCTAGAGCTTTAATTACAAGCAAAAATATATTTTGATATTTTTTAATTATCTAATAGCTGACAAATAAGTTTAATAGCTGACAAAAAAAATTCTGTTAGATTATCGGAATTATATTTGTACTAAAGTATAAAATTCAAAAAGCATAGCTTGAAATTTTTTTTTCATTCATATTCAAAAATTTATCAACAATTGATCTTGTAAATTAAAGAAATTTCAATTATAAATAATTGTTTCTCTTAGAACTAAATAAGTGCAAACGTGAAAAATTATTTTTTAGATGTGAGCCATATTTGGAAAATTTTCATCTTGAATGCAAAATGCCCGATGCTGTATTTCATAATCAAAAATTATTAAAATACTAAATTAAATATTTTCCTCTTATTTTGACCTAAATTAGTACAAAATAATGAAAAAAAAGTATGAGAAATATATTTATTGAAAATTCTGCGTCAAAGGGTTAAAAAATGGATATTTAGTACATTGTTTCTCAAACCTTAGACATTAAATTATTTTTTGAGACGTCTATGATTTAACTTGAAATGACTTTGAATTAATTGAGCTACTCTTATCAAACTTAAATAAACAAGAAAGTATTACATAAACAAAAAGCACCATATCATTTGAATTTTATTCTAAAAAGATTTTTATTACAAACCAGAAGAATTTTTTTACTTACATCGAAGATATTCCAACTGTCACTCACTAAAAGCATTCAATTTTTTATATTCATAAATATTTTCTGGTGTAGAATAAAGATTCGAAAAAAAAATTTGTCTACTTCGCTTTGGATATAGAGATACTTATATTTTTGCATTAAAAACGTAATAAATTTGATTTCAAACGACGTGAAAATGCTTTTGTTGACAAACCTATTTAACAAACTTACTCTTACATCACCACAATAAGTCTGACGACGCGACTATTAATTTATCGCTAAGTTGGCGATAATTCAATGGATATTTAAAGTAATTAGGGTAAAAATTACATTTTGGAGAATATATATACATATTTAGCCAGAGTAAAACAAACAAAAAATAATAAGTATGAATTTTTAAGTTACTTTCCTTTAGAGAAGGCGTTTTAAACCTTGTGCATCAGAGGACAACAAAAATAAATTTCGGGAAATCCCACTGGCCACACACCTGCTAGATAATGTTTGAAAAAACAAACATTAGAGCAGATAATCTACTTTTAATTTCTTACATATTAGTATTTTATTAAAAAGTTATATAAATTTAGAATAAATACATTTTTTTAATTGCTTTAAACTGTAAAATATGATTCTGCGGAGATACTAAGCAATTACAGTATAGTACAATACACATTACACAATAAAAAGAAAAATACTTACATTACAAAAAAGAGGAATGTTATTTCAGTTGAGTGAGTTTCCTTAGTGAGTGAATTCTCTTACATCAATATCATGTGAAATATTTGTAGTTACACTACTTAAAGTATATTCCAAATGTTGCTCAGTCAAACGCGTTCTTGCTCTCTATATCGCATTTTTTTCACCACTGAACAGCCAATTTTCGGGTTTACGACTGTCAATGTTCAACTCCGTAGCTTGTAATTTTGAACTTTTAATTTCTTCCGAAAAGAAAACTACATGAGCAAGTAATGGAACAAACTAGCATTCCTGGAGTACTTTTTAATAGAACTAACCTGCATTTGTATGACACGGAAAGGAGTACCGCGAAAACCTCCCACGGTTAGCTCGACGACAAGGCGATTCCGCTATAGGATATTTTACGTCAGCACCGTGGACGGATCAACCAACCGATGCTGGTATTCGATCCTGGGTCATCTAATTGGGAGGCGAGTGCTCTATCCGAGTCACCTCGGCTCGTGTTTTCATTTCATGTTTTATAATTAGCGTTGAACAGCCGACCCAATTCTGAGTTTGCAACTTTCAATACTCAAATCCACAGCCTTGTAATTTAGAATCGAACGCAAAAGACAAGGGTACTCCTGGATCAAGCATTGGGACAAACTAACTATCGTGGAGGGCATTTGGATGGAACAAACCCGCATTTGCATTACATGGGGAGGACAATCGTGAAAACCTCACACAATTAGCCCGACGATAAAGGGACTAACTCATGATAGGTCTACTACAGAGGATATTTTTCATCAGCACTGTGGTCTGTGTGAGCCGAGAGGAAAATTCGAATCAACCACCCACCGCTGGGTTTCGAATCTGAGTTACCTAGAACGAACGCTCTATCCCCTGCTTCAATGGGTTCTCCCTGGCCGAGCGGTATCGCCCACCAAACGCTGTACAAAGCACGGAGGTAGCAGGTTCGAATCCTGCTGTTACCCCGGATGTAACTTTGTGCTATCTGTCCTTCTATTTGATAAAAGTTTATAAGCCTAAATTGAACACACAAGCCTGCAAATGTATGTATTTCCAATAAACCTGTTTCAATTGTCATTCTACGGCTTTTCTTCTTCTTTTTAACTACACTAATAATGTAAACTGAATGAGGTGGTTAAGCTCTCGGAATATGCGTTGTTGTTGTTCATTTACGTCGCACTGGAGCTGCACAATGGGCTACTGGCGACGGATGATCCGAAGGCATACCATCACAATTTTGATCCTCTGCAGAGGGGATGGCACCCCCGCTTTGGTAGCCCAACGACCTGCACGCGAAGTCGAGCACTTTACGGTAGAACAGTTTAACGAGGACCAATGCCGCACACCTTTGGTCCCTACGCAGACTGATCCAAGTGGTCACCCACCCGCACACTGACCGTAGCCAGTGATGCTTGACTTATGCTGGGAACCGTGTCTTAACGATCAATCCATTGCGGGACGAATATGCGTTGAAAACCCTTACTATAGGGGATAAAAAATTAGGTAAGAACAAAAGTTATTCAAGGTGATGCTTACTGTAGAAAGAAATCCGTATAATATTGCTGCCCATGGGATTGATTTGTAAACCTAATGCAATCATTAATTATCTTTCTCTAAAGTATATCTGCCGAAGTATTTATTTCCAATAGTCCTAAAAGTTATGCACTAGACCAGTTATTTTTGAACTTTCCTCGAATCTTAAAAGAAGTTAATACAAAGACATAACTTAACGCGGATGTAGATCACATTTTTTATACGCTACAATTCATTAAATATTTTATTGGGCATTAAATTATTTTGAAAATTAATTAATATAATTGAAAATGCAATAGTTTACAGCTTGTTGCTCTTTGGATCAACAAGTTGTTAATTTGGTCTAAGATAATTTTTTATTCGATTTCCAAAATTAATTACGTAACTTTAAAAACAAACCATATGCTTTATTTATTTATTTTTAGGACAAATCCTTTTTAAAAGAAAACATTACAGAATGCTTAATCTACTTCATATTAAAAATATTATATTTTCTAAAATATAAACAACCATTAAAAAAATTTCAATTCATTATAAATTTGAGAAAAATATAAAGAAATGTTTTATTTAAAACTTTTAAAAAATACATTTTTGATTGAATAGGTACTCATTGTGTTAATCGGTATTATATTTACAATAAACTGTTCAAAATGGACAGTTAACATACACCATACTCACAACATACATCATAACTCTAAAATTTCTCTTACATTCAAAATACAATTTAATTCCAAAACAACTATTTTTCACATTTTGGACATCGATTAACTTTATTTACATATAAGCTCCCCAACTACTATACATTTAATGTTAAATTTGCATATTTTTACTAACAAAACACGTAAAATGCCACCTAAATGTTTAGATATTAAGTTAATATCAAGAAAAATTAAATATATTTAAGCAGGATGTCCATTAAAATATTTTTAAAACTCATGTAAAAATAACGTACAAAACTTCTACAGTATAAAAGTCACAAATTAGTATTCAAGCAAAAATAAAGTTGTCAAAGTATGGCAAATCATTATCGAGGCCAAAGAAAAGAATTGGAAATAAAATTATCAAAAGCAATTTATTTAATATGTATTAGTTCCTATGGCCTCATTTTTGACAAAGATTGTAAAAATATATTAACAGCAATGACTGCGTAATACTTCTGTATTCGAAGTAAGTTCTTAATAAGAGTTACTTTTTAAAACAATTGGAATAAAACAAAAACAATTTTACTACAGTCATTTCTTAAAAGTAGCCAAATAGAATAATTTTGAGATATCTAGATTTTCTAATATTCAACTTCCACACCAAAAAATTTATATTTACAATTCCTATTTTACTCAATATACTACAAAAAACACGCCCAAACACAATTCTAAAATAAATCGATGTTTTTAAACTTACATTTATACAAAAATAATAACATAAAAAAAAAATCGATCATTGATTCGTTTATTATTCGTCATTTCATTGTCGTTAATTGTTCATTAATATAGTTCATCGTGATTTGTAATTTTAAAAATTCCCCCGGAAATTATAATTATTGTTAATCAATCATTTATTTTGCAATCCAAAAATTAACGTATTTCTTACAGTGTCACCAGTAAGGCTGATTATTAATAAAATTATTCCAAGAATCTATTTCAGAAAATCTTTCAATATTTTCAGTAAGAGATAGAGTTATTCTATCATTTGATTTTTTGTTGTATGAGCGGTTAGGCAGTACAGTCTTATTTTTCACAATTTCTGTAACCAATCTATAATTAACACCACCGGTGTTATCCCAATACTTTTCTTTATTGCAAATATATCCAATGCAAAATTCAATCACTTCGAATTTTAAAGCCGAAGGGGGAATATCAATACTGAATGTGAAGTTGTTATATTCATAGTGTTTTTCAGGATTTTTCTCTGGTTTTAAGTACGTTGCTTTGACATCAACCGACGATAACCATCTATCAAAAGAAATACGGACAAAAACATTTTTCTCATAAACCAAGTTTTTCACTTTAATATTTCCTTGCAACACATATTCGTTGTTCGAACCTGATGCCCTTAATACTGTACGAAAATTATCAGACCATCTGTCTTTTAGAGTTTTTTCTAAGCCATTTTCAGCTTTTGTCTTGATTATCGCAGACTCCAAGACCACCTTATTTGTTTCCAACAGCTCTATGAGCTTGCTGTCAGTCCAAGGAGGGTTTTCAGAAGCAATTTTCCAACCTTTTATAAATGTTGGTCCATTCTGAGTATTATTCCTTTCTGGAACCGTTGTAGTTGTTGGCAAAGCAGACAAGCCTGGAATCTCACGTATTTCAACCAATCTGAATCCTTTGTCATCAGCAAAAGATACCTTTTTCCTTTTATTGCCATCTACGATCACTTTTTTGCAACCTTTGGAGTCATTATTAAAATTATATGAATCCAAAGTTTCCTTGTTTTCAAAAGTAGGTACACCTTTGGAATCTTTTGGAATAAGTATATGACTTCGGGGAAAAGAATAACTTTTGAGGAATCCATTATCATTGTCATTGTTTGAGAGGGAAAATTGACTTTCGACAAAACGAGAGAAGTCAAACAAGCCAGCACCTGTTTGAGACAAAAACACTTCCAAATCTACAGGCATGACTATTTTACAGTTGCTTTATTTTTAAGGGCTAACTAGGTTCATTAGTAGTAGATACCTATAAGAAAAAATTAGCACTAAATAATTGTACTCCAGTTTTAGAAACAATGAAATACACTTTACAATAAACAAAAATGTGAAAGGTTGTATTCACATTATGTGGGATATTTTCGCATAATATGATATTTGATATTACGAAATGGTTTTCCAACAATATGAACAAGACTAATTTCAAAACTGACATTAGTTAAAGTACTGAGGTAATTTAATATATATATATTTANTATATATATATATCTTGCTTTTTTTTCTAAAAACAGCACGAAAGTGAAAAAGAGACTAATTTTTAGTTTATAAAAATAATTTCCAAAATTTGTTAATTGAAAAAACTCTCTGCGTAAAATACTTCTACAAAAACTTTAATGTGAGTTTAAAAATATGCTTTAATGCGAACTAATAAGCTTTTATAGAAACTTTATTTTCCCCCACTTGGAAAAGTATGATTTCAGGAAGAATGCTTTAAAAATTTGGACAGACGCATTAAGTATTAATAATTTTTAGAGATAATAGTTTTAATACAGTGTAAACAATATCGGGGTATTGTTGCCACTATTCTTAGTGTTGATGGAAACTAAAGTTCTTTTTCAGTACATGTATTCACATATTTTTTATTTACTTTTTCATTGCTATATTTTTATTTACTCACTTTTTATTATTTGTTTACTGGCAACACATACTTTCATATGCATTGGAATCAATTTATGACTTCATCGCAAAAATATTTCACTTAAAAGGAAGCACATTTTTAGTAATACGCTGTTAGAAATTTCTCGGAAAAATGGTTAAATAACAATTTATTTAATTGTTATTTCACAGCATTCAAACAAAACAGTCAAATAACCATAAATAAGATGGTATTAAAACTGTTAACTATGAGAAAACCCGTTTATTAACTGCTTTCACCTAATATAGTTAACAAACCAGAATTTTATCTCTCCAACTAAACCCACCTAATGAATTAAGCCACTTAGTTTCAAGCAGATGGGAACATGTTATAGTCGAGCGAACTTATCTGTCACTCTCATGACCGACAGAACTGGGTTTTGAGTTCCAACGTTGACACCACAATGTTTCTTCTATTCCCTTTAACACATGAAGAATTTCCACTGTCCTGCCCTTCCCATTTGTGACCCTGTGCTATGAGAGTACGATACTGTCCTTCAGGGGCCCCCATCAGGAGGGAAGGTGGGCGCACGATGCGCTCACTTANCACCACAATGTTTCTTCTATTCCCTTTAACACATGAAGAATTTCCACTGTCCTGCCCTTCCCATTTGTGACCCTGTGCTATGAGAGTACGATACTGTCCTTCAGGGGCCCCCATCAGGGGGGAAGGTGGGCGCACGATGTGCTCACTTAAAGCTTGGGGGGGAATTTTTACACTAAATAAAACGAATAGTTTGGGGGGGGGATTTAGAATTTGCCCAAGAATGCGCCCAAGAGCTTGGGGGGATGGGGGCCACTGCTGTCCTTCACGCCTAGATGGCAGCGCCATAAAGCTGATAAACTATCTCCAATGTCCAGTTAAATTTCTTTTGTTATGGTTTTGAAATCATGTTTGTTGTAAATGATTCAAAAAAAAACATATGGTTTTATATTCGTGGTTTCCTAACCATACTACTTGTAATCAGTTTCAAAACCGTAAAGGTAAAAAATATTCTTTACCGTAAACTTTACGGTTAATTGGATGGACAAACTGCTAGCTATATATATATATGTGTGTGTATATATATATACACACACACAATTGGAGAAGCGGGAGTTTTTTGAGACAACTAACAATGTTATTCTCCTTTAAGAGCGATTAATCGAAAACACCATGTAACGACACCATTAATATATTTTCGAACAAATCAAATGAAAATTAAAAATGAAAACTATTTTAACGCGTTGTCATCGGAGGCTGAACTTTCTGCTCAGGCCACGTCAGTCGCCGGTGATTCACACTGAACTTTGGGTTTAGGTAACGTCAGTCACCGTTGACTCACACTGAACTTTCCGTTTACGTCACGTCAGTCGCTGGTAACTCACGCTGAACTTTGGGTTTAGGTAATGTCAGTCACCGTTGACTCACACTGAACTTTCCGTTTAGGCAGCGTCAGTCACCGGTGACTGACAGTATAATATAAATCTAAAAAATTCACTTGTTTTAAGTAATTACGGAAAACTTATTTAAAATTTACTTAATGCCTGTTACAATTTTGATCTATTTAAATTTGTTAATAATGCTATACCACAATAGGAGTATAATTTAATAATTTTAATCACGTTATTTAAATTTAACAAAAAAAAGTGTCTCAAGTCAAGGTATAATCAAGGTATAAAATATTTAAAAGTATCAATGAAAATGTTCAGGTCTTTAGCAGAAACACTTTACAACGTTGCGTAAGAAAGTCTATGAATTTACAAAAATGAAATGTAAATATTTTTTAGCTAAAGGTTTTCCAAAGTCACATTTTAATGGCGAAAAAATAAAAGTTGTTATCGATAACAGAAAAGTGTCTGCGAAATTTTTAAAGGAGAATTCCATTGATGAAAGGACGCATAATCATGATTGCGCTATCTGCAATCAGGATAAATGTGTAGCCTATTTTTTATTAGTCGGATAAAAAAAATAAGAGATAAATAAATTTATAAATCAGTCATACAGTTTTTGAATTCAGCTTAAAATTGTGTTTTTAAAATAAATATTCAAGATTGGAGTTTGTATTCATAACTGAAAATAATGAGTTAATAAATAAAGTTTTAAATATACATAGTATATAATGAAAGTGCCTAAGAGCAAAATATTTTTCATCACTAATGAAGAGCCGCTAAAATAACGCCTACGTGAAGCATACAAATTATTTATCCCTAATTAATAACTTATAAAGAGACAAAGCTTTTTCTTTTCCTGCATTATCTCTTAACAGTTTCTCAAAAAAAATATCTCGTGATAATTTAGGAAATGTTTGCTCACTATGATTTATACTCATATTTATTCAATGAGCTATCCACCAATAAAATATCACAGTCGAGCTTACCGTGAGAGGCTATATTGTCATTTTGTTCCTTAACGCACGATAGTACGTTCTCTATGCAACGGTATCGGTCACAAGCTTACAAATCTGCATAAATTAATGCAAGAATATCGCATACTCTCTGCGTTTCTCGGCAGATTATGAACATGGCCAGAGAAAGGAGATTGGCATCGTTCTCAGATTTTTACTTCTTCAGTGTTTAAGAAATTATAAATCCAAAGCAAGATTGTGCATTTCAACATATAATAGAAAATTTTCCATTCTATTAACATGCATTGAAATTAAAGTAAAGTGCAAATTAAAGTAACATACCTTTAAATTAAAGTAATAGTTTTAGTTTTATGGTAAGAAACATAACTCCTGGTTATTTAAGATAATTTTAAGAATTTTTAAATATATACATATACAAATATGGTTAGTCTTTGTTGTTTATATTTATCAGTATCTATCCTAAGCTCTTGATAAATTTAATTGACTATAAGAGTGCAGAAACTAAGACCAAAAAAATTTATTGGAATAGAGATCATGAAAAATCCGCACAAACAGAGGAAAAAGTATGTACCGGGATGCGATTTTCCAATCCAGCGGCCTTTGACGATCCAGTCTCCTGTTTGGAGATTTTTCTCTTGGCTGTAGTTGGTGACAATTATAATACAAGTTTTTATTTTTTTAAATGTGTTACCTAAACTTAAAAAAAAAAAAGTTAAAAATCAAGTTTTTTTTTTTTTTTTTTAAATTTAAGGTGCTAAACAGGAGAGCGGGTCATTAAAGACTATTCGAGAGGATAATCGCTACCGTAATACGTAATTTTCACCAATTAATGCCAGAAAAAAAGAATTTTACGTTGACAAAAGTGTATGTATACTATAGGCCATTTAAGCTCTCATAACAAAATAATACAGACTACATCTTCTTACTTGACATCAGATATATGTTCTACACCATACACTTCAAAGTTTTCATGATAGGGTATTAGAATATGAAGACCTATCTTTCCTATAATATCTTTAAGAAGTAGACAACTTGAGACATTTTGCTATGAAAACGTAAATGAAATGCTATGTATACCTGAACTTGTTCAGTAAAAAATTCTTTCTCCATGTTTATTATTACTCTAGATATCATGCAGTTTTTTACTTAAAAGAAAGTAAACATATCAGTGCTAATATATCATGCCTAACGAAAACAAAACTTTTTTTAATTTGTTTATTTATTTTGGCATTCCACCTTTCTAGTTTAAGATGAAGAAATACTTCCGACATCATCTTCGCAATTCACTTGGCCGGATTCGAAACGAACAGTTTCTATTAATAGTTCAAGTTTCTAAGACAGTTAATTCCAGAAACATTTTTTCTGACATGAATAAAAAAATTAAACGTTTCAAGGTTGTAACTAAAAGCGACGAAACATTTTACACTCACAATCAATCGGGAAATTCATTAATGATTTCTTTGTTTCTCAATGACACTTTTAAACACATGATAAATTGTGTAATTTGCTTCGAAAAATTCAACGTACTATATAATCCGTGAGAGTGAATTTTAGCAAAAAATATTATGTATTAGTACTGCGTATTATTTTGTTTAATTTAATTTTAAAATTCTGCCTGTTATTTGAAAAAATGTATTGAAATTATCCAGATTTAAAAACGCCAACTGCTTGTTAAATCTCCTTTTAAAATGGTATTTCTTTTTTACAGAAAAGAGAAAAGTGGTTGCACAAGTGTTTAATTATTAGAACTTATTTTTCAGATGCAAGATAATTCTGTTAACCATAATATATTAATAATGTAAATGTTGATGTTTGGAGATAAAGTCAGGATAGTTCTGTCTATCCATAATACTTTAATGTAAATGCTTATATTTGGATATAAATTCAAGATAGTTCTGTCTACCCTAATATATTAATCATGTAAATGTTGATATTTGGATATAAAGTCAAAGCAAAGAGCTTTTTTATTTTATTCTATAACAGCGTT